TTGCCTTCATTGCTCAGACCCTTGAGTATAGGAGTTGGGACATTATGTTGAGGTTGTACAAGATGTTGATTAGGCCTCTTCTGGAGTATGGTGTCCATTTCTGGTTGCCCTGTTATAGGAAGAAAATTATTAAGCTGCAGAGGGTTCAGAAGAGATATACCAGAATGTTGCCAGATTTACCAGGAGTGGAGAGTTTAGGTTGTAAAGAAAGGCTGGATAGGCTGGGACATTTTACACTGGCACGTAGGAGTTTGAGGGGGTGACCTTACAGAAGTTTATAAAATCATGAGGGGCATAGATAAGTTGAATGGCAGGTCTCTTTTCCCTAGGGTAGGGAATTTCAAGACTGGAGGGGTGGATTTTTAAGGTGAGAAGAGAAAGTCTTAAAAAAAAAAATACATGAGGGGCATATTTTATTTTACACCGTGGCTCGTGAAGAATGAACTTCTAGAAAAAGTGGTGGATACAGGTACAGTCACAACATTTAAAAGACATTTAGATAAGCACATGAAATAAGAAATTCTTGGGGGGATATGAGCCAAGTACAGGCAGGTGGGACTAGTCTAGTTTGGGATCATGGTTGGCACGGACCAAAGGGTCTGTTTTTGTGCTGTATGTCTCTGTGACTCTAAGATATATGTGCAGCTTTTGGGTGTGTATGCCTGGTTAGGATTGGTAGGATTGGAGCACAGAGACCCAGCAGGATGTCCTGAGAATGTGTCAGTGTGCTTGGAAAGCAGCTCCCATTTAAGAAGCAAACCTACAGTCTGGGGGTGCAGAGGGAAACAGGTCATGCTGGAAAATGGAGTTCAGATGGACCTATGGAATTATCATTGCATTCTCAGTGCCAATTCCTGCAACTGTTTACTGTCTCATGTTCCAACTCTGCTTACGTTACTGTGTGAATAATTTGGCCCATCTCTACACTGGGTCTCAGCAGAAATGTTTCTGTGATGAATTGTAGCACTGACTCATTTACAGTGAGAGAGAGGCTGGGTCATAGAGTCATTGAGAAGTACAGCATGGAAACAGACCCTTCGGTCCAACTTGTCCATGCCTACCAGATATCCTAAATTAATCTAGTCCCATTTGCCAGCATTTGGCCTGTATCCCTCTCCAAACCTCTCCTAATCAACACCCATCCGGATGCCTTTTTGTGATCTGTACAATATCCTAAATTCCAGGAGATCCTGATTGCTATTCACTCACTGACAATGTTCTGATTTTTAAAAAAAAATCATTCTTGTTTTCCAGTACCTACTTGCCCTCTACCTTCCACATAATCTCCTCAAGCCCCAGGACTCTCCAAGATCTATGTGCTCCTTGAATTCTGACCTCTTGGGCACTCCGGATTTTAATCGCTTCACCATTGGTAGCCATGTCTTCAGATGCCTGGGCTCTAAGCTCTGGAATTCCCTCCCAAAACTTGCCACCCCTCAGGTGTTTAAGATGCTTAAAACTTTTGAGCATAAACTTTGCCTCCTGCTGTAATATCTCCCTGTGTGGCTCAGTGACAAACCTTGTTTGGTAATCCTCCCGAGAAGCACCTTGAGATTTCCTGCCATGTTAAAGGTATTACATAAGTGTAAATTCTGCTTTTGTTGTTGGAAGTAGTAAGTGGATCAGTCATCAGCTGAAAATCCTGAAAAAGGAATAATTGAAGGATACATGAGGACTTCGTCACCTTTTAACCCAGGGAATTCCCAGGTGCTCAGTTTATATAGCTTGAATGATGACGAACAAGCTTGAAGGGGATAGATTTAATTGTTTTATCATCGAAGGGTTCTTTAGATTATATTTGGCTCCATTCCTGTTTACGGCTAAAAACAGCCAGCCAGAATTTCATGGTTCTAATCATAAGGCTGGTTTGATGTTAACATGCAGCTGTGGTTTAGTGGCTAACACTTTTACTTCACAGTCACAAGCAAAAACAATCCATAACATCATAACATATAGGAACAGACTTGGGCCATTCGGCCCATCGAGTCTGCTCCAACATTCAATCGTGACTGATATTGTCGTTCCTTTATTGTTACTGGGTCAAAATCCTGGAATTCCCTCCCAAAGGGCATTGTGGGTTAACTTACAGCAGGTGCAGTGGTTCAAGAAGGCAGCTCATCACAACCCTCTGAAGGGCGACTAGGGATGGAATGCAGGCCCAGACAGCAACACCCAAATCCCATAAGTGAATAATAAAAAATTTCACAACCCCATTCTCCTGCCTTCTTCCTGTAACCTTTGATCCCCTTACTAATGAAGAGCCTTGGTCTTAAATATACTCAATGACTTGGCCTCCACAGCCCTCTGTGGCAATGAGTTCCATTGATTCACTGCCCTCTTGCTGAAGAAATTCCTCCTCATTTCAGTTCTAAAGGGTCATCCCTTCACCCTCGGGCTGTGAAACATCTTCTCCATGTCTGCTTTATCCAGGCCTCTCAGCATTGTATAAGTTTCAATCAGATCCCCCACCAACCCCTCATCTTTCTAAACACCATCGAGTACAGACCCAGATTCCTCAACCGTTCCTCATATGACAAAACCTTCATCTCCAGGATCATGCTTGTAAACCTCCTCTCAAAACCCTCCATGCCCAGCACATCCTTCCTTAGATACAGGACCCAAAAACTGCTCACAATATTCCAAATGCGGTCTGACCAGAAACTTGTACAGCTTCAGCAGTACATCCCTGCTCTTGTATTCTAGCCCTCCTGGAATGAATGTTAACATTGCATTTGCCTTCCTAACTGCCAAATGAACCTGCATGTTAACCGTGAGAGAATCCTGAACTAGGACTTCTAAATCTCTTTGTGCTTCAGATCTCTGAAGCCTTCCACATTAGAAAATAGTCTGTGCCTCAATTCTTCCCACCAAGTGTATACCCTCAAACTTTCCAACATTGTATTCTATCTGCCACTTCTTTGCCCACTTTCCTAGCCTGTTAAAGCCTACCTTTGTGTCATCTGCAAACTAAGCAACAAAGCCCTCAGTTCCTTTGTCCAGATTGTTAATGTTTAACATGAATAGTTGTGGTCCCAACACTGACCCATTCAGAACTCCACTGATGCCATCCTGAAAAAGACCCCTTTATCCTCACTCCCTGTCCCTGCCAGACAGCTAATCCTCTATCCACGCCAGTACCTTGCCCCTAACACCACAGGCTTTTCTCTTATTTAGCAGCTTTCTGTGTGGCACCTTGTCAAAGGCCTATTGGAAATCCAAATAGATTATACCCACTGGCTCTCAATTGTCTAACTTGCTCATTACCTCCTCAAAGAATTCTAAAAGATTTGTCAGACATGACCTCCCCTTGATGAAGCTGTGCTGACTCAGTCCTATTTTACCATGCACTTCCAAGTACTCCACAATCTCATCCTTAATAATGGAATCTAAAATCTTATCAACGACCAAGGTCATGCTAACCAGCCTATAGTTTCCAGTCTTCTGCCTCACTCCCTTCTTAAACAGGGCTGTTACATTGGCCATTTTCCAGTCCTCTGGGACCCTCCCTGCCTCCAATGATTCCTGTAAGATCACCACCAATGCCCTTACAATCTCCTCAGCGACCTCCTTCAGAACTCTGGGGTGTAGACCATCCAGTCCGTGTGATTTACCCACCTTCAGACCTTTCAGCTTCCCCAATCCCTCTCCTGAGTGAGGGCCACTAAACATGCCTCTGTCCCCTGACTCTTTTGAAGTTTGGGTACGCTGGTGGTGTCTTCCACGCTGGTGGTGTCTTCCACGCTGGAGACTAATGCAACATACCTGTTCAGTTCGTCTGCTATTTCTTTGTTCCCCGTTACTACTTTTCCACCCTCATTTCCACTGGTCAAATTTCCACTCTTGCCTCTCTCTGACCTTTTCGATGGCTAAAAAAATTCTTGCAATCTCCTTTTGTATTATTAGGTAACCTACTCTCATGTTTCATCTTCTCCCTCTTTACTACTATTTTAGAAGTCCTTTGCAGGTTTTTAAAGGCTTCCCAATCATCTGCCTTCTCACTAATTTTCACCACATTGTATACTTTTTCTTTTGCTTTTATGTTGACTCCAATTTGCCTTGACAGCCACGGATGTCTTGTCCTCCCCTTACTGTGTTTCTTCTTCCTTTGAGACATAAACACAAAATTCGGGCTGACACTCCCAGAGTGATATAGCACTTCACTGTCTGAGGGTTAGTGCTGAGGGAGTGCTGCACTGTCTCCATGTCCCTGTGCAAGTTTTGGAGGGACAACGATGGGGATGTGAGCAGACTGGGAGCTGCCTGTTCTGTTCTCCAGCGAGAGGAAACCCGGATTTGTGGTTTGGAAATGGAACTGTCCCTGGAGCCCGGGGGGGTGGGGGAGACCTCTCCCTGCAGTGGGTTCCAGTGAAACCCTCCCCTTGGTCATGTCTACACTCACCCTCCGGGGAATCCCAGCCGCCTGGCCCCTGCCTGCAGAGTACAAGGAGATCCTTGGAAATGAGGGAGAGATTCCTGGGACCCGCTCTGTCATGTGGCTCTCTGTGCCCGTTTGCAATTTGCTGGTTTTACCCCTGTACCCAGTGACTGACACAGACTGGGGGCAGTCAGTCTCAGTATCTCCGCCTCCCATCCACCCATCTCAGGGCGGAACTTCAACTTCCACCAAAACAACACCTACAGCAGTAAGGCCAGCATCGATAGCAGCTTTTCCGGGTTTAAATTTGGGGGTGGGCTGGCTTGTCACCTCAGCTGGAAGGGTTAACACCAGGAGCGCTAAGGTTTTCCTGTGTGTGTGTGTGTGTGTGTGTTGGAGGGGGTGGGGGTGCTGGTGGAGTTTGTCTGTCCCTGTGTCTATGAGTCTGGGACATTTTACTTTGAGAAGAGGAAGGTGCTGAGTAATTTGATCATTTAAAAGCTTCCCATGACCTTGTCGGAAAGCAGCCACCAGCAATTTGTTTGTGAAACAGACACAGGACGGAGTTTCCCCCTTCTTCGTTCCCAGCCCCAGCAGTTACAACCAGCCAATCCTTCTGTTGCAGCTACTGCAAGCTTTTGGAGCCACTGAGTAACACTGGAGCGAAATGTAGACGGAGAGAGCGCCGAAATTGTTCCTCATTGCAGCTTCAAGGAGAAAGGAAGAAAGGAGGTAATTGTCTTCTGACATTCTGAACTGCATCTCTGTAAAAATAGAGCAATAGTAACGCTCAGCTGAAACTGGAAGCACTCACTTGCATTTGTATGGCGCCTTTCACGACTCACCCAAGTGCTTTACAGCCAATGAAGGACGTCTGAAATGTAGTTACTGTTGTAGAAAATGGGCAGCCAGTTTAGTGCACAGCAGGATCCCACAGAACTGAAATACATCATCATCATTATAATCTGTTGCCTGTGATGTATGTTGAGTCATGAATATTGTCCAAGTTTGTGGGGTAGACTTGCATGAAACGGTGGCGTACTCCAAGTCAATCTGAAAGGGAAGATGGAGCATGTTCTGTTATCTTATCTAAAAGACAGCACCTCTGACAGTGAAGCACTCCCTCAGCGCTCCACATGTTGGTCTGGTTCCTTTACTCAGGCCTCTGGAGTGGGACTTCAATCCATAGCCTGTGACTTCCAGCAGGGTTCCCACTTTCCTCAATGTCCAGAGATTTCTGCTGGAGAAGGATGTGTCTGGATGTTGAGTAAATGCAGGCATGGACCGACATGCAATGTCTTCAGTTGACTAGCCAATGCCAAGACCCTAGAATAGCTGCCATGTGTAGAGCAGTCTCTTGGGAAGGCCATCAGCATCTCCATCCTGGGTCAAATCTTTGACAGCTAATGAAGCACAGACCAAGGTCCATATCAGGAAGGTGCCTGGCTCTGTGTCACTCAGGACAGACCATTGCAATGGAGGTTGAAATGTAGAATTTGCACACCACACAGTATGCATCACAGCACCCATCTCCTCTACAGAACAGTCTCTGAACCAACTTGTCTGACACAAACAGTCCGGTCATGATCACATTGCTGCTTTTGTAATCCTGCAACACTAACTACACCTTCAAAAAGTACCTCATTTGCTGTAAAGCACTTGGGGAAATCCTAAGTTTTTGAAGGGCACCAAACAAAGGTAAGTCTCTGTTTTCTTCTCTGTTAGTTCACATTCTTATCCTGAACACAAGAAATCAAAGGTCGTGATCAAATTACAGGGGAGAAATTCCCACTACCCACATCAAGCCGGGAGAAAAGTATGACTTACCTATTGGCACTGAGTCAGCTTCCTAGTGTTCCTGGCAATGCTCTGGAGTAAAGTCTGTGATATTAATTTTTGTAGTCATTGCCTTTCGCTGTAATTTGCTTTCTGAAAAGATGTTTAAAGTTTTACTCAAATATGTTTTGCATAAAGTTAAATGATTGCAATGTCCCATTTAAAACATCACTACCCTTCAAGCACCCCTAGGACAGGTACAGCACAGGGTTAGATACAGAGTAAAACTCACTCTGCACTGTGCCCCATCAAACACTCCTAGGACAGGGACAGCTCAGGGTGAGATACAGAGTAAAGCTTTCTCTATGCCATTCCCTTCAAACACTCCCAGGACAGGGACAGGTCAGGGCTAGATACAGAGTTAAGCTCCCTCTAGCCTGTGCCCACTACACACCTTTGGATGGATGTTGGAAATGTAACCTGCTGTATCAGTGCAGCAAGTTTCCATTTTTCACATGTAACTTTTTCTGGTTTTGCAGTATGAGATGCCGATGTGGATAATGCTTGTTAAACGACGGGGCATAACTCCGACTGCAGAGTTTTATTTGAACAGTGTACATTGGGAAGTCATTTAGAGGCATTTGTGTACTTGAGTCACAGCCTCTCAAACGTTTGGTCATTAAAATAAGTGGACGGTAACATTTGGATATCCATGAATGGAGTGAGCTGGTCTGAAAGCCACGTGAGGCAGAATGCTAAGTATTCCTCTGTTGTACTCATTCATTGCATTTAAAAGGTTAGTACTGATAATCCAGTGCAATACGGATGGAATGCTTCACTGCTGGAGATGCTGTATTTTGGATGGGATGTAATATTGCAGCCCTATCTGTTTTGTAAGATACAGTATATTGTAGGAAATATGGAACAATCTATAGAAGAGCAGGGGAGTGCCCTAGTGCCCTGGTCAAATTTTATCCCTCAAAAAAAGTTACACAATGTGATCTGTTTCTCACATCGCTGTTTGTGAGAGCGTGCTGTTTGGAACTTGATTGCCTCATTTCCTATTTATAATAGTGACTACACTTGCAAAGTGCTTCATTGACTGTGAAACATATTTGAAACCTCCAGTGGTGTTGAAAGGTGCTATATAAATGCAAGTCATTTTTTTATTTCTCTGCGCCAAACAATTTTGACATTTTCCCGAAACTCACTTCAGCAACGACTACATTTATGTAGCAGCTCTAAGGTTGTAATATGTCCCGTGGTGTTTCACAGGAGTGATCATCAAACAAAATCTGATGCTGAGCCACATAGAGACGTCTCAGGGCAGGTGACTGAATGCTTGCTCCAAGAGTTTTATAGGAGAAGGTAGAGAGGCCGAGAGCTTTCGGGAAGACATTTAGAGCTTTAGGCTCGGGAAGCTGTTGCAAACAGAGTGTAAAAGGGTTGAGTTAGAGGAGCACTGAGATTTTGAAAAGTTGTAGACCTGGCCAGGTGTGGAGGTGGGGTACCCAGCTGAAACTTGACAGAATTGAACAACACCTCCTCACCATCTTGATTCTGGAATTCGACTGTACTCACACCAGTGACATTTTGTCCTTGCATGAGAGCTGCTTGTTTGTTCTGTTAGAATTCCAAGAAATTGGGGTATTCTTAGGCTTGTTGCTACTCAAGATTTGTTAGATTTGGAAGTTGGGAAATCTGACGTGGACTGGAAGCAGGGATTGGGATTTTACTCATCGTCCCTGGATCTCTGTGATTATGTAGCTCTGATATTCGTGCTGACTTAACTGGTTCACTGTGCAACACCCAGTCTCCCCACTTCCTTCACCCCTGCAAAAATTTGAAGATGTCTTTGTCATACTGAAACAGTGTTATTTTCTGTGTGAGCAGATATTAGGTTCAGTCTGTTCAGTCACTGGTGTGTTTTTTTATTTTGGTTATGTGCACCTGCCACTGTGCTAAGTCTTTCTAAAAAAAAGATTTCTTTTCCCCAGTTGCCTGTTTTGCCATATTGCTGATTATCGCTGCATGCAGCTTCCTCTATGTAGGTTGAAAACTAAAAAAAGGTCTTGTTGATTTTAAGAAGAGGAAGTTGTATAAATCTGATGGGCCAGAAACTATTTAATGCTTAATGCTGGTTTGAGATTCTTGGTATTGAGTCATAGTCATAGTCATAGAGAATCCGAATTCCAATCTCCCTCCACCAATCCCTCCTTTAAATTCATTTTTTCAAAAATTGATTGTCTTTTCCTCATCTCCAACTTCTGATCTCTCAGTCTTTGGCAAATGTTCTTGGCCAGTCAATGATGCTCTGTACTGCTATGAACTCTTGCTGTGCTCGAAGTTGAAATATACAGATTTATTCATACTTCCTTTTTCCCTTGTGTTCAAAAAACTTTCTAACATATTTCTCCATACTTCAAAACAGTGACATTTCTTACATCCCTTCTCAGTCTGATTTACAGTTTTTGAATCTCTCATTCTCCATTGTCTAGCTTCCTAATTCCGAAGAAAAGGAACATTTTGATTTTTATCCCATCTTTCCCAGCCTCAGGATGAATTAAGACACTTTGTAGCTTATGTAACACCTTTTGAAATGTAAACCTCTTGCAATAGAGGAACACAACAGTCCATTGGCACACAGCAAGTAATGTGAGAATAAGCCAATCATCTGTTTGAAGGATAGAAGCTGAGGAGAGTCAAATATTGGTTAGAGAAATCCTACTCTTCTTCCAAGTCTTCACAGGGATGCAAATTCTGTTCTTGTGCCATTTAACACACACACAGCAGGAGTCACCTGGCCTGGATTGGTTTCCTCCTTTTTAAGAGTCATAAAATTTTACAGCATAGAAAGAGGCCCTTTGGCCCAATGTGTCTGTGTTGGTCATCAAACACAGTCTTCTGTCATCTTATTTTCCAGAACTTGGCCCATACCCTTGTATGGTATTGGCATGTTCTGAACCCACTGACATTGACAACAACTGGAGGATCTGCCTCAGTTCGGAGTGTGGTGGGAAAATATGACTTTTCCCACTCTGTGTGAATCTATGCCACCCTAAACTAACCACCTGTGCCATTGCTGGGCTGGTGGGTCAGGAAAAAACTTGGATGTCACTAGCTGGACCAGCATTTATTGTCCATTCTCATTTATTGAGAATGTCGTAGCAAACTACCTCTTGAACCACTGCAAGTCCATGTGCACGATGCTGTGAGGGAGGGAGTTCCAGGAATTTGACCCGGAGTAGTAAAGGAACAGTGATATATTTACAAGTCAGGATGGTGAGTGCCGTGGAGGGGAACTTGAAAGTGGCCGTGTTACCATGTTTCAGTTGCCCTTGTCCTTCTAGATGGTAGAGGTTGTGGGTTTGGAAAGAGCTGTTTGAGGAGCCGTTACCGTACCATCACCAATGGTGATGAACCTTCTAACCAGTCTGTCTTACTATTGGCACATTCCTGTCACTCTGTCTGGCCTGTCTAGAGACACAGCAGTCCTAATCTATGACCGCATGCAATCTATGGAGATAAAAATACTGTGTGAGTAGGAGCATATGACACGGTTAGAATCAGTAGGTCAAGAAGTGGCATATGTGTGGTTCCCTCTCTGAGGGCAAGACCAGGCTGTCATAACTTTTCAAACTGATTCTTCATTTCTTACCAAAACTGATTTCAACCTGTTATAAATGGAGGCAGTTTACCAGCAACTCCCTTTTTAAAGGGTCTGGAGAGATTACGCTGAAGGATTGTCAAGTTGGACATGGAACTCAACATTGATAGATGCAATACAGTGGACGTTTCTCACACAATGTAGATCCGTTGATGCACAAAGGCAAATAGAATCAATATTTATTTGTGTATGATAATTAAGCAGCAGTTGAAAGTTAATTACAAGGCAGTTGTCAAGAAGAAACAGAGTGTCACATTTCAGTTCTGCAGTATTTGATAATGAAGCAATG